CGTGGAGCAGTTGCGCCGTTCGTCGGTGCTTGTCAGAGACTTGACGGTTCATATCGTGGATTGTTCTGGACGCGACGAATCAGTCTTCTTGCCTGATGACGAATGGTACAACTTCGAGCAATTGAAGACACTGCAGAGAACCGTAGGCAACAGAACCGTCGGATGATCACTATTTTCGCAGCGTTGTTTGGTCACGAGGATTTGCTCGAGGAAGGAGTCATTTTCAGGCTGGTTTTTCAACATGGGGTGAATGGGTTGTGGACGATAGTCCAACTAGTGAAGGAATCAGAAAGACATCTGTGTACGTGCGATAGGCCAGTGTATCGAAATCTGCTCAAGGACAATGGCATGTTTTATCTGGAATGGGAGGTGCATTTAAGGTGTTTAAGCAGAGGTGTTGACGCTAACGGAGAAGCACGGTTGACGGCCAGGCCACTTTTTTAAATATGTACAGCTCGTGAGTCCGGTGACTTCTGGGAGCTTCGAGGGCAGTTCACGGGGAGGCATCCAGGCATTCGAATGGTGTTTGGTGGGGTTGGGCAGGTTGTTATTCAGGTTGATGGGAATCGCAGGAGATGCTATTGGCACCGCAACATTATGCTGTATCCAGTACTGTTATCCTCATTCACATAGGCGGTGAGCATGCAGTATATCCCGCAGGACATACTTGGGTGTGACGATGTGGGGGAGTACAGATCAATTTATGTATTTGGGTGTGGTGGCACATAGGTGCGTTTGCGAATTAATTCTTTGGTCGTAAATTTCCACGGGCCAGGGAGAAGTCAATGCGGTTTCCGCTTACATGCTACTTGCACTCACCTGAAGAGAGGCAAGAGCGCATAGCGTACGCTTCGACTGAAAACCAGTAACCTCCTCACACCAGTTTCCCAAGCGCCGTGGTGTTATCTGTTGATCTGGACGGCGTGTTTGATACTGCGACCCTTTTCTATAGAAAAGTGTTGTGTAACCGGTGTCTGGTGTGCCTGTCGGGCTACTTTAGGTAGATGGGGGCACTTGAGTCGAATGAGCCTAGCACTTGCGTAGAGTGGGTAGAGGCAACACGGCAACAGCTTGAATTTTCTCAGGATAGACCGTTTGCGAATATGCGCTTGCTCCCCTCTACTGGTGCTGTAGAATAATAAGCCGGTTCCTGGATGCTGGCCGGCACCTTTGTATGATATACCTGCTTTGCAAGTGTTTGGAGCAGGGGGCAAAACAGTCCTACGTGTAGTGCAGTTGCCTTTATATTCAGATTCTCTTGGACCGTGCGCATGGTACAGGAGGTAAGTGCCATGAGATATGAGTACCAACTCCCGAAAAGTGTCGTATGCCGGAGCGACGGTTTTCTACTGCAACTGAATGACAAGGGGGACGCACCTAATTTCACTAGATCGATCCACGCGGCAACTATCCCGCTCTCAAACTGTTTTCTGGATTGACATAGCTGCATGGTTGTGCCGAGTGTGACTCTAGAGCGATTGAAGGTAACAGAATGTGCGGCAGTGTGCCTGAGGTCGGAACAGGTTTTGGAATTTGGGGTTTGCGGCATCTTTCCACTGATGTTTTAGGACTAGAGAGTACGGGATCGATAGGGACACCATTGTACACCTAATCAGTGTATTGGCCAGCACCCCAAACGTTCTGCAATAGAACATTTGAATTTTGCCATTGGGACCCATGTATATCATGTACAGGATTTAACTTTGGAGTGCCACTGAACATAGGCAACAGCTCGAAGAGACTATCGGTTACGTTGGCTATGGTGTCTGTGATTTTCTGTGGTTCTCTTTGAGAGCCTAGTGAGCCGCCCATGCGTCAGGGAATTGAGGTGGTCTGATACATTACGAGGTTCATGTAAGAGGTAATAAGAGGTAAAGAGGTACTGAGTCTGGAGCACCGAAAATACTGCTCCAGAGCCTTCCCAGTTTCGCGCGGTGCCAAAAGCCCAAGGGGTGGCAGTTTCCAAGTGCAGGGAGCATCGACCTTGACAACGATTAATATGAAAGTCTTGCGTAACTTAGTTGTTTTGCCAGGATATGGAATGCTGAGTCCTATGGCACTTATCCACCTATTCAAGGACTGTTGGAGAGGCTAGTGATTTTGCAAAAATTCATGCGGAGTCAGGATTTCCATTCGTATGTGCACTGGGAAAACTTGTAGATTTTGCAAGGACACTGAGAAGCAGCCGTGGTAGCAGCATGTGTTCCGCTACTCCGTGTTATGCAGGCAGCCCTGAGAACGCCGCAATTCCGTCTGGCTTTGCGAGTTTGCCGCAGCAAGTGCGCCGCTCGTCCTAAAGATATATATCTCTCTGTACATACCCCTACTAATGCGCATATGTAAATGCATCACAGGGCTGGTAAAAACATCAACAGCCCCCAGTGTGGGCCGCTCATGCTCAGTCTGTGCTTTACATCGAGCGTTGTTTTCAACCAAAAACGTAGCGGTACAGGTTCACGCGATGTAGCACTTGACACGAGCAATTTTATTCCATGAGCCCACTGGCACATGTTAAAGCTGTGCCAACGAAGACATAGGGACACTTTTCCAAACTGCGAGGCGACCGATGAAGCTCTCGCTTAAGTTTTTCTTATCAATATGAACCTGCCTGATGAGTATGCTAATTTCAGGGGCACGAGTTGGACTGCTCAGGCAGATCGTTAGGGTTCTGACTAACGAAGAAACGCTGGAAATGCGAATATTGCCCAAGGCGGCCGCTGCAGTTGTTGAGTGCCGGAACTGACTGATCGCGGTGCACCAAAAACGGCCAGTCTACGCTTCTCAGGTCCATCCAGTAGTGTGTCCTGAACAGCGGGGACTGCCGGTAGGCAATGCTACGCTAAGAAAATTGCTGTAAATAATGTGACTTTATTGAGACCACCGGCATAAACGGCGAGTCAGCTCAGATCAGGCTGTCTGACTCGGACCAGTGCGCGTAGTGTTTAGTGACGCCCGCATACTGCAGAGATGCCAGGTAGTTGACTGAAGATGAGATTCATGGAAAGACGAACTGTACTATTTACCAGTCGTTAGCTACACGAACTCAAGTGAAAACTAGCTGCGTCAGTCTAGGCATGTTGGAAGGGCGCTGTGGAACGCATGCAGAGCCAGCTTCCTTGTGCATCAGCAAAGACAGGAACTGCAAACGAGAGTAGCGAGCTCCTTCGGCAAAAAAGGAATAGCGGATTGACAAAGATGCGTCTTTTCGTGATTATTTCAGTATTTGAAACCCTCTGTGGGAGTGGAAGCGAGGAAGCTTGTCTTGCGGTCCGCCTCGGGGGCTTGAGTGGGTCGGCGAGTTGCGTTCGTCCTGAACGTGGCGACCACGTGCCATCTCTACACTTCCAGTTTTCTTTTAAACCAAAGGAACTGGTAATTTAGTTCCCGTTGTCACCAGAGCTTTGAGGAAAGCAACGAACGAAGGGAACCAAGCTATTGATTGCTCTCCAGAGCAGAGCCCGCCGGGGAACCGCGCCCTATCCGTGTCTACCTTTTTTTCGCTACAGACGGCACGTCTGTGAGCTTACGAAAAGTTCGTTAAAACACAGGCACGTGGCCTCCATTGTTGGCTAGACTGTTCACTTGGATGGAGACCACAGCACAACTGGCAGTTGAAGCTGTAGTTCGGGCTGTGCCGCCCTCCCCAGGTGGCGCATAGGCTTTCTTTCTTCTGCAGCTGCATCTCGCTTCTCGTTGTGATGTTCATTAGCCCTTGTGCTGTGACTTGCGTATCGACTGGGCTCATGTACGCACGTTGGTGAAGCCCTGCGGTGGTGCTGCTGCGCTTGGCGTTCACTCGCTCGAGTGGAGATGGAGGATTCCACAATTGACAGTAAACCAGGTCAGGGCGACTCCTTAGGTAGGGCCGGATTTACAAATGTAGACGCAACTGCTGACATCCTGGTCCCTTCGTCGCAGACTGCGGTTGAGGCAAAGGCATCCTATCCCACCCCTGCTGTTGGCAGTGGAGGCTTCAGCAACAGTGCATTCTGCAGAATCGACGGTAGTGGATCTGGTGGTGGACGCGCAAGCAGCAGATGCTGTTCGGTAGTTGCTGCAGACCATTCCTCTGGCGGCACGCCAGTGCAGCGTCTCTTTTGTGCCGATCCTCTGCACGCATCGACGATCTGCGTTGGCTCATTTGAGCAGCAGACCAACTCTAGCGTGCCGGGGGTAGCAGCGGGAGAACTTCCTGAACTTTGTACGGCATCTGAAACTGGTGCGTTGGCACCCTTGAGGCGTACAGAAACGGATGTAGAGGATAAAACGCCGAACCCGTTGCTGCAGCGTGAATATCGGGAGGGCGGTGATGGTGGTGCCGAAGAGGGAACAGCATGCGTGGAAGGAGAACACCGCGGCGGTCCGACTGATACGCCATCTACATCTCGTGGGCGTAGTGGAGGTTGCGTCGGGGCGACGCAGACACCAGGCAAAGACGCCAGCAATCTGCCAGATGCCCAACCCGCAGCAAGCGGAGTCGAAGCCGCAGCGCCCAGTGGTGGAGTCTCTTGGACGCAGTCAGAAGGGAGAGCATATCAGGCCCGTCTGGATGAGCTGGTCCTCCTCTCCTTCAATGCGGGACTTCTCGAGTACAAACTTTGCGGCCTCCGCGTGTACCAGAACCCCCCGTTCACTCAGCGTCGTCTTCACCACATCCCGGGTACTCCCCCCTAGACTTGTGTGACTCCTGTGTTCATGGTACTTCGGTTTATTGTGTGGTACTGCCACATAATACATTGTTCCCCGTACAAGCAGTCGAGTTGCTTTGTCCATAGTTTGTATGACCGCCATGATTGACGGTTGAAACGCATTTTGTTGATTTTCCAGTCTCCGTTTTGTTTGTGTCTTTGTTCAAAGCGGCGCTGCTGTCCACTGGAGCTGACATAATTTGCCTTCAAGAGGTTTATGGAGACAACCACGCGGACTTCATCATCGAGAGCACTCGCCACAAGCTGCCTTTCGTTGGTTAGCCATTTCGGGAGGACCAATCCTGTCCCTTCACGGGTGGTTGGTTTCATTTCTGACACATTAGATTATGCTTTCACACTAAGACGCCAATCTATGTGTTTATTGAAGTCTTGGTTTCATGGGGGAGCTTCTGGTTAATCTGTTGCGGGTTACGGATTGCTTGAGCTGCTCTGTTTCAGGCCGCCGTACTTCGGGGGGTCGCTTCTCCCTTCACAACGGCCTCATGGTCCTCAGCAAGTATCCAATCGTCCACACTCAATTTCACAAATTTGAAGATGTACGTCGGCTTGCGAGAAGCTCCCACCGCGGGAGCGTTTATTAAGCTTCATTCGGGGAAACTATGAGGCGTTAGATGTTTCTAATTAGCATGTTTTGTCTGGTTTACTCGATGGCATGCATTGTTACACCTGATTTCTGGGTTCCTTTGAGCACAGAGTGAGTAGTTACGCAGCTCCACAATGCTGTCCTCTTATGAAAGACTGCCCTCTTCCTTCTTTTTGCAGGTGACGTACATAGAGCGATGCTTTGCTTCGAAGGGGATGTTGGAAGTAGCTGTAGACGTTCCCTCTATTGGCGTCAGTGAGTGACAGACTTAGTAAACACAGTGAAGAAACTACCAGGATCTGGAGGCGGTATCTGGCGTAGCCACCGAATATCTTTTCTGGGAGCATAATGGTTGCATGCCTAGCAGTACACGAAGGCAGTTTCATCTGCTGGGAGAGCCAGCTCTACGCATGTTTGTTTTTCGCGGTGGTTGTTTGCTCTTACAGTCGCCATTTTTAATATTCATTTGGCTAGTGGAGCCGTCGACCCCGAGTCCCGGTATGTAGAGGACGTGCGAGCAGCAGAGATACGACAACTCTTGAAAGCCTGTGACGCTGCAGCAGACAGGGGTCATGTTCCTCTTGTCATCGGCGACCTCAACGCCGGTAATCTCCAATATGCATATATATGTATATATATTTATGTGCATATATGTGTAGGTGCAGATATATGTGTGTAGACTTATGGATACCTTTTTGTGTGTAGGTAGAAGCATGCACAGAACATACATATATATAGCTGCTGCTATCTGCACACCTCTCTGTTGACATTACGGGAGGAGCTTTTGCCTATCCTAAATGCAGAGAGCTGACGCCTAAGTCGTTGCGTGCACGATAGCGCTATGTATTGCCCTTCTTGGCTAGTCATGACTTGCCTTGTTGAATCCCTTTTTTTGCCTTTTGCACAGCTCCTCACCTATGCGCTTCGAACTACAAATGCTTTGTGGAGCGAGGTTGGCGGGACTGCTGGTTGCACGTTCACGGGCATCAGCGCCATTTGCTGCAGCATCATTTGCTACATCAGCAACAGTTGTTGGAAGAGCAGCAACTAGACGATCAGGGAATAGAACTTCACGACCGGCATATTCGCCGGGATTTGTTCGTGCGCGTTAGGCGACAGCGGCGCATGAAGCTGCGGCGAGGTCCGGAGGTTGAGGCGCTGCAACCACCGCCCCAAGCTCCACCCCAAGTGGCGCCGGCTTCAGCACATACGAAGGCCATGCAGCAGAGCCACATCAGCAGCTCTCAGGCCACCTCCCCTCGTATTCCCACTGTGAGCTCTGATGCAGACTCCAGTGATGCAGAAAGAGAGCAGAAGCAACAGCTGTTAGGGCAGCGACACAGACAGGCGGGGTTCCTCCCCCGCAGGAACGGTGGATCGCGAGAACAGTCCATGGGCGGAAGCAGCAGCACGGTACAGCGAGGTTCCAACTGCTCTTTCGGAGGTACTACTAACTACACTTCGAATCTGGAGGCTGGTCGTAGCTCACCGGCGGATACTAGCCGTGATTTTTCTCGGGGGGGATCGCTAGAGCTTTGCAGTAATAGCTCTAGCGATGCCACTGCTGCAGGACCACGCAGACCCCAACGCAGGAGCAAAAGTGCTTTAGGCGGCCGTATTGATGATGAAGAGGAAATACAGCCTGCAAGGGGTTTATTGGGGGGTTATTTTGGCAGAGCAGGGGGAGGCGTCCAGCTTCCTTTAGCCTTTGAACTGCCGGCTGCTGCAGCTTGGGCGCACCGCGAGTTTTTCCTGACGGCAAAGCGACGACTCATCGAGCAGCAGCAGAAGTGGCTTGGAGGAGGGGACAAAGCTCCTGTGTTAGATGTCCGTCTTTCCCTTTCTGCTCCGCAGCAGCACCAGCGAGGAGTGGATGCGACTCCCCTTGCTAGCGACTGCTCTCTGGCTTCATGCAGCACAGCGCTTACAGCGGCACGCAGTGGCGACACAGCTTTACTCCCAGCGAAAGCGTGGCGCTCTGGATTTATTGCGGCAGCACCCGTCGATAACCAGTGGCCTAACGACGGGGCGGATGGCACTGTTGCCGATTGGCTGCTGTCCGACACAGACGAAGAGACGGAATCAGGCGAAAGCCGCGACGCCGTCATACATTGCGCCCCCGAAGATGATCGGGTTTCTTCCACATCATGCTCAAGAAGAGACTTCACGTGGGACCCTGAGAACCCTCTGAACTCTATAGGGCCTCACGCGGGCTGTCATGGGCTTCGCTGCGATTATGTATTCTTGCCTCCCCACCAGTTTGCTGGCGGTTTATATCCCTTTCTGCCTGTTGCTGCCGACATTCTGATGCGGGATCCTCGTGTTCTGGTTGACGCATGCTGTTTTGGTTGCTTTGGGGAAGTGATGCTCGTGACACTCAGTGACCACTATGCTGTTCGCATTACCTTGCGCCGAAGCACCGACACAGATATTGCCGACTTTTGGGGTTCCTGTGCTGCGGAAGCGGCGGCCCTCCGGTCCGCTGCTGCAACAGCAAGGGACCAACGAGCTGCTGACCAAGCGGCTAGCTTGCAAGCGAACGACTAGCGAGCCGCGCCTTTAAGGGCCGGCGGCAATTCAGGTTTTTACAGAATTGTGGGTGAAGTCCCGCATGCGTGCTTACAACCGACAGTTTTCAACGTGACAGCTGTGGTTTCTATCTTGTTTGTTTCCTGTGCCCACACGTTCCTACGTGATTTCTGTTAGTGGGACACCACGAGGTCAACCTATGGTTGCTGACCAATGACAGTTTCTTGGGCGTTTGGGAGCGACTGGAGGCGCCTCATTGCACACCTCGAAAGCAAAACCAACATCTTGTCAGTTAATCACTATTGTTACTGTTATATTAGAAGAGGAACAATTCGTCGGGGAGATGTTATCGTCTCCCCAACAAATTGGTCCTGTACAGCTCTCACTGAGGGAGGGTTGTTTCCGGTGAGTATATCCTCCTCGGCTTCGTTTGATGAGAGCACCGTCCAGTCATGGATTCGGCAGCATCACAAAGTGCGTTGGCGCCAGCAGATGGCACAGCTCTCTCACTTTCTCTTTAATCGGTTGGAGCTGGTTGATCCTTGCTGCTGCACTGGCGGAGAGGGGGGCCGCTGCTTCTGCAGCCTACTCGTTCGGCAAAAGTTATGAGAACGGTCAGTGGAAAACACCTTGAGTACTCGGATATATGATACATGGCGGTTGTTCTAAGATAACCCGCCGTGAGTAGATAGCTTACACGTAACTGCGCGATGCTTCAAAGTGTCTCGGCAGTCCTTAACTTTATTTTCGAATCATCAATATCTGTTAGCTCGTTATCAATAGATGTAGGCCGGTCTAGTGCAAATTTGCAGTACGCCCGCTTGCAATTGCTGCATCTTTTATGGAGGGATCGTAGATGCTCTTGAGTAGCGGGTGGGCGCAGCAACTCACAGAAAGCTTCTCGCATTGCCAGGCTCCTAGCAATTGAACACTGAATTCTCATTTTGCGACTTCGCCGCGTCATTACACCATGTCAAGGATCTTAGCTACCTCCACTGCAGCCCACCTCACCCATGCGGTGCTACCAAGCCTAAGACGATTTTACATCCCTGCCTATGATAGTCGTTATGTACAATTAAATTGAAATCTTTTAGACGAGAGTTCCCGCAAATCAGTAGGTCTTCGCTGCAACTTCCAGGTGTCGTGGGAACAGTACCGCAAAGGCCTTGGACTTGTGTGGAGAGGCGGCCGATGATGAGCTACGGCATTCCAGTGGAGGCTGCCTATGATGGGAGTTAGCACACCCCGTTTCAAGGCGTGGTACAAGGCATCTCCATGTACGAGCATACTGTAACGCTTGCTCTCTGGCCTTAATCCATGACAGAAGCGAGCTGCACTGTAGGTAAGGAGTTGAAGCAAGAGTTTCCCAAAAGCAGCTGACCACCTTCCCCTGTCCTCAGGCCTCCTGGGCGTTCAGCTCAGGGCCTGGGTGTTGCCTGGAGGAGGCAGCCTGAAGTGGGGTTGCAGCAAACGTCGCTGCGGCTGGTCATACAATCCAGCCTCACTCGTGCACACCAGGATGCTTCAGCGAAGCTTCCTTTGCTGCATGCTTTACTTCTGAATGTACTTACAGAACGTTTGCATTGGCTTAAACGTAACCTACCAAGAGCAAGCGAAGGCTCATAAGCTAACATGCTACACAAACCTAATCATCCCTCCGTTGGACTCAGGCAGAAGGTAACATACTGCTCTCACTGGGCCCTCAGTGTATCAAATTCAGCTAGAACATCCCACGAAGCGGCATATAAATTGTTGTAACGTAGTTCTCCTGGATGTACCTACTGAGTCTGTTCTTCAAACTCGTGAGCTGTACTGTGGGGGAGCAGTCGGGTGGGAGGCTAATGCATATTCAGATCGCATGTAGGGGAAAGAAGGAGCCCCCATAGCGCCTAACCTTTAGAAATATTCGAAAAGAAAAGGCACAAAATTGACAGAGTCACTAGCCAGGATGCAACGGCCGACCGTGCAATACCACTGAGTGGCAGCTGGAGAAGCCGCCGTTGGGACAGTTGAGATTTGGAAACTGGGAAAGGCATAGCACGCCGTATTTGGCACATTAAGTTTAGTGCTTATGTGTTCGTAACAAATTAGCCCGACATACCTAACTTTTTGTTGAATGTCGCAAGTAACCGGCGAGGGCCACCGTTTTTCGGAAGACTGCTGCGGCGAGTAAGGCGGGGTTCATCCCCAGTAGTTTTCCTGCTCGTGAAACTTCGCGTTTACGAGACCCGTAATTCTTCACAGCTTTTTGGATGGTTCTTTTGTTTTCTTCAATCGTGAACAGTTCCACTGGCCCCGCTTTTCCGCATCCCCGCAGTTCTGCCCGGGCGGGTTCACTCGTGTGGACGTCGAGCCTTTTGCTCGTCCTAGGAGCACGAATACGGAAATGAGAGGCAATATACTTGCACTCCTCGCCTTTTCTGTGCTCTTCATCTCATCGGCAGCTGCAGATGACGCTGTCCTGGCGCCTGCAAAGGAGCCGGAAGTGGAAGAAGTCAGTCAACTAAGCAGTACGAATGTCGATGCGCTGAATTCTGAAGCGCACGATGAAGGGCCTCCAAGAAGAATAGAAGCTTCTTTGGAATTGAGAAGACTGTATGCTGAGAAACCAAAATCGGTGCCCCGTCCTAAAGGCTTCCCGGCACTGCTGGCCAGCATGGGTCTTCTGGGGCATGCCGGCGTGCAGGCGGCAAAGGACTGGGGCACTATGCCATTGCCGAGAGCGACCGTTTCACTCCTGCTTGGCAAGGCAAGATTCGACACAACGAACTTCGCTCTCTACTCCCTACTAGCGGGATGCCTGCTGTTTTACCTAGGCGTAGCACGCAGATGGAAAAGCCACAAAGAGAGGGACCTCTGGAGACTCGACGAAATGCTGCGACAAGACCGAGCAAGGGTCGAGGCGATCCGAAGGGGAGCCATAGGCAAGAGATAAAATCATCATCGACAAGAATTTATCTACATGCGTTTCGATATGTAGGCCAGTCAACCGGCAAGAATACCTCCTCACGCGCCTGGCCAATACGCCCTCACCCGCCTGGCCAATACGCCCTCACCCGCCTGGCCAATACGCCCTCACCCGCCTGGCCAATACGCCCTCACCCGCCTGGCCAATACGCTCTCACCCGCCTGGCCATATAAAACTGTCAACAGGGAGACATCACCGCCAAGCACGAGCAGATATATCGACAGTACATACATTCAGTTGATGGCAGTTCGTTGGTAGCGTTGTGGTGATGTACTACTCTATACTTCGGGGATTTTTCGAAGCGCCAGAGCCTCCACGTGGACTACTCCGTTCAGTTGTTGCGTAGATTACGCTACGATGAAGAGGCTGGGCCCCAAAGAAGTGTGGCTTCTGCGCTACAGCATACCCCGCTACAAAGCCTAAATTTGCTCTTAAATTCGGTCTCGCCGCTGGCTATGTTCGTCAGTCATTGGATTCCACATCGTTTACAAATGACGACACCGCCAATCGAGACGGCGACCCCAAAAGGGAAACACGGCGAAGCAGTTTCATTTATCGTCGTCCCCGTATTTCGCAATGTTATTTTTGGGAGTAAACTTTGCAAAATAATGAAACAACCATGAGCGTTGTTAAGACGCCTTTCCAGACATTTCGTCCAAATCAAGCGTTCATAGTCTGTGGCGCTCACTTTCAGTACTGCCCACTGCAGCTTTTCTAGAGAAACGCATGCTCCTCTGTACTATATGCGTACAAGGCGAGTGGTTGGGTAGCAGATGGGAGCTCAGGTGAAGTAGTTTAGACTTGACTTTTTCTTAGCCTGAACTGCAGCAATACCCTGGACAAAGTCCTCGTGCTGTAGCTCGGAGGCGTTGCGGCGGAGCGCAATCATACCAGCTTCGACACAGACGGCCTTTAGCTGAGCTCCGTTGAAGTCGTCGGTACTCCTAGCGAGCTCCCGGAAGTTCACGTCTGCTCGCAACACACGAACATGAGAACTGCAATCACTGCTTTACGATTCCACTGTCTCAATTCCTGTCCTGTCGGTAGAACTTTCCCCAGGAGGAATGCCACTCGTAGCATCCAGAATAATGTATCTGTGACGCGATGCCGCATCTGGCGCGTGCCCAATTCCTGTGGGGGTTCACGCTGAACCCACCAGCCTTGTTCACGGTCATCTTTCGGGCATGAATTTGCAGAATTCGTTCTCGAGCGTCTTCATTCGGGTGAGGCAATTCAATTTTCCTATCGAGTCTGCCAGAACGGAGCAAAGCAGGGTCAAGTACGTCTGGCCTGTTAGTTGCTGCGATGACCTGCGGAAGCAGAGGATGCAAAAAAACAGCGGATGTGTATCAGCTGCTGCCGACATCGACAGTATAAAGAAAAATTTTCTACAGGGAACATGAAAGTCTCAAACGAATGAAACCCCACTATGAGCACCAATTTGAACCCTGAAACAATGAACTCAAACATAAACTGGCCTTGATGCGGTCGTCGCTGCTGAAGCCATCCAGCTGATTCAGAAGCTCAAGCATTGTCCGTTGAACTTCACGATCGCCCGATAGCTCGCTGTCAAACCGTTTCGTCCCGATGGCATCAAGCTCATCTGCAATCAGCCATCATCCAATCAACATCTTCGATTTTGCCCACCACAAACCAACCATATTCAGGAGCTACTGCCCAAGGCAAAAGCGGAAGCTGCACATGAAAACGTGTGCATGTGCTATTTGATGTGGGAGAACGAAGCGAAAAATGTCAAGCATTAACATACCAATAAATATGATCGCAGGCGCCTTCTCCTTTGCCAGTTCAAAAGCATCGCGAACCATCTTTGCACCATCGCCGATAAACATCTGGACAAGCTGTGGACCTGCCAGTTTCAAGAAGGTAGCCTTTGTCTGCAAAGTCAAGCACGCGAGCGTACCTCACGACCACGTGCAACTCTGATAGTAGGCATTGTGCTCCCGTGGCAAAATTTGAAAGGCATGCATATAGGTGAATAAGGAAATGCATGCAGGCGGAAGCCGCATCAACGCAGAGCACGTTCTTAGATGTGGGCGCAAATGGTACGCCCTGCACTCAGGAAACCTCAAATATTCTTGAAAACACTGAAGACGCAGTTAACGCTAGCAATTACTTCCAATTCAGACACAGTTGCACCCATGTCTAGAAGCGTATAGTAATTCGGAGACTCTACTCCACCCGGATCGCCTCAGTGAACGTAACCGCGAATCTAGCATATTGCTGCGTCACCCATACACGAAAATGTTCGCTTAAAGGCGAGGAGTACCTGGGCTGCACAAGCTCTTGCCAGAAGCGTCTTCCCCGTCCCAGGCGGCCCGTACATCAGAACTCCTGCGTTGTAACCCAAGTTGCTTCGTGCAGGAGGTGTGCCGGCACGTGCTCGACCCAAGCCTCCAATAGCGCGACCGTCAGAAGACACGAGTGGCAAGTACACACAAAAATAGTGGTGAGATCGCCCTATATGTGCGGGACAACCTGAACCCCCAGAACACGTCAACGGTCATTCGCGTCAACGAAGGGCAGAAGCAGCTCACCTTTTGGCGGCCGAATGCCGATTTTATCAAAACGCTCCTTGTGGGTCATGGGAAGAACTGAAAGAAACAGAATACAGCAAAAACACGGGATACGTGCGTGCGTGTGTGTTCGTTGTAGGTTTCAGATCACAGTAGATGCACTAAACCCTAGACTTTACTCTGCCACTCCACAAGCCAAACAGCGTTCGCTCTATTTTGGCAGCGTGGCGCGCCGACCAATTGCCTCAATCAGTTCTTGAATTTGTTTGTCGAGGCCCCCAACATCACTGTACTCTTCTGTGGGCCGTTCGTCAACCTCCATTGCCTTTACCCTCGCATCGTATTCTGCAGGAAGCTTGTCCAGCACCAGGTACGAATCCTTGTTGACTCCTACCTGCAGGGGGAAAGCTTTTGAAACTGAACCCTGAACACTAAACCCTAAACTCTAGTCCTTACTAGAAAATATCCATGCACTGCAGGTGCTTTTCACCACGAAAAGCGGACAGGCTACGAGATGCATTATGCTGTAGCAGCAACAGTGCAAGCACATGCGTACCAGGTCTCCTGGCTTCAGTTGGTCTGCCTCCACAAGGCCAATCACGGGAAGAAAGACAGTCTAAAGAGCAAAACACAACGCAGCTCCACCCCCAGAACCCTTAGAAAACAGAGGGACGACGGAAGTCCTCTCTTCTAAGTTTTACACAGCATGATATTCGCTGACTCTTCTACTCCATACGTGCCTGTCTTGTGGAGGTCTTGATAACAATGCATTTTCCCTTTCGCTGTAGGTCGATATCTGCGGCTGCCCCGTCCTCCTCTCCCTCTTCCTCATTATCGAACAACTGGAATACGCAAGTAACAATTTAGCAGGCAGGAAAAGTCCTACTAATTGATTGTGTCTCGACTGCTCTTTGTTGCGGATGCTGTGTCGTGCCAATTGCATATGCCAACCCGCATGCAAATGCGCAAACGAGCTAGAGGACGCAGAGGAAAACGACGGAGGAAGACGCGAAATACAAAAGAAGTAGCACCGCCTTACAGAGACGCGCTTACTGAAATTGAACCTCAAAGCATACTTGTGAATATGACAGGCGCAGCTCTGCACCATATCACCGTAAACAAACTCTCACCTCCACAACGCTGCCGACGAGGTAAGGCAGCTGCTTGTTGAGCCGGATCTTCTCGATTGCCTCTTTGATTCTCTCCTAAAAGATGCAAGGGCACGCGAGAAGGCAAAACACACACATACCGTAGCAAGGTTTTATACAGGCACATTGGACTGCAACAACTGAAGTTATCTCTCCGCGAAGAGAAATATAGAGAACTGCATATACACTATGCAAGGTGAGGAGTCGCTAATAAGCAATAGGCGCATCTAAGTACCCGCAAGTGTTGGCAGCAGTGAATTAGTCGTGCGTATATTCAACCTATTCTCATAGAACGGGTACCTGCATGTTATTCAGCTCGAACTTGAGTTTGTTTGCTTCACTCTTGAAGTACTTGAGCTCGGAGTCAACTAAAGATGTCCTCATCCGCAATTCAGCGGCCGTCAGGTTAGCGACCTCCGCGGTCACCCCGTCCTCTTCTCCCCAGACTTCTGCTGAATCCATTTTGTGCAAATATGGCGTATATATGCAACAAGGCGCGGTGAGCCAGAGACGTGCAGCACACACCCTCACGGCACCATGCGTCGCGCGTGCTCCGTTAAGGGTGAACGAAACCTCAAAAGCAGGAAAGAAATGGTGGAGCTGATGGCCTCTATTGCCGTTTAGCCCCGTTCGCTGTGTCTTTCCTCCTCCTGCTGGGGGCGCAGCAACGAAGGGGTGTGGAGATGCGCGCTAACTCCGAATTAAATATGCACAGGGGCCTTTAAGAAGCAGGCAGACAGAGTCTAAGATTGGAGAGAACAAATCTTTCTACAGAAAGAGAGCGGACAAGCGGCACTACGACCGGCTCTTCCTTGCATGCAAGAGCTGCGACCGCCAGACAAACAGAACAATGGTGATTCGAAAAGTGAATGGCCTAAGAGCCCTCTAGAGCAGATAAGCTGAAGCTAGTATACAGCAAAAGGCGATATAGAAGCACCAGCAACAGCAGCAGTTGCAGCAACTACAACGACAGCTACTCCAACCGTAGCCACCAGAGTCGACTCGGGTACTGCTCACAAGCAGTCGTCTGCGTTGCGCGATGCCATCTTAAGTAAATTAACAAACGATTCAATTTAAATTCAGTTTGTTCTTAAACTCAAACCCTATTCCAGGACCTGCTGCTTCTGCCGTTTTCCCTATCTGTTTCTCCTCCACGCACGCGCAGCCGCCCACAGGCGGCTCACGCCGTTCTTACTAGTAGTGGTAGCTCTATGTGCATAAAAAAGTTATTCCGCAACATGCAAGTGTACACTGATTTACGAATTAATCACCAACTGCCCCACATTTACTTCGCATGTCGGTGGTGCTAGCGAGATCGTGCGGAACGCCCTCGCTAAACGTAGGATGCTGTGTCCGTGACTGCAAGCAGTCGGATAGGCAGTTGATGCATAAATCCTTGTGTCGGCGTGTTTCTAGTCTTTATGAGGTTCGCTTTTTAGCAAGAGAAATATTCAACTAGCGGCGACTTATCGCCATCACCTAACTGGGCGCATGGCGCCGGCCTAGAACGATCATCAGTGGCATAGAATGGTGCTCTTTTACTTGGGAAGCAAGAACGCTTGAAGGGGATGTTAGCAGCCAGTCTGCAACAGAGAAGAGTCCGCAATCGGATTCTGCCAAGCTTGCTCGGCACCGTACGTGGTCGCCAATGTAATAAAGCACCTGCTTGCTTGCGTCCACATATGGTGGCTACTGGGGGCCAAGTAAGCATTAAATTATTGACTAAGGCGCCTGCATATGCATCACAAAGGGAATGGACGATTCGTGTGTGCGGCGTTGGCATTGTGCGAGCAGCTGGAGCACCAAGGAACGCGAATCTATGCAGACTGGCCTCTCAACAGCTGCAGCGGCCCGTATGGTGCCGACACCTAGAAGCAGTGAGGAGGAAAAGCTGCAATTTTGGGATGCTTCGCACAATTGGTTGCACACCCAGATAGCTTGCGAGAGCCCTACTCTAAGGCCTTCGGCTCTAGTTGAAGGCGGGCGCTGCGTTATTCATGGCGAGATTAGGAAAAAATGAACAAGGCTCCCGTTACCTATTTGCGGCCTGACGGTTGATGATCTCCCGGTTTGCCTCGAGCTAGCCTCTCTGCTCTGGCCAATCGTCCCTTTCCCCCCTCAACTGGGCATAAACGGAGTTTTCAGTTTTCACACGTCTTTCCATGTGTTTCAGGCGGATTTGTCTGCATGGTATCCACTTTGTGTTCTTATAGCGAAACATTCCTGTAGTTGTAGTTCCGTGAAAATCAGAAACAAATAGCAAACACAGAGTCTATGCCTCCCCCGTCCAGAGTGGCATGCAGCAAACAAAAAGACGTGAGACGCCAGTCCGTCACATACGCTGCCAATCGATGGGCACGAGTTGAACTGCCGTCCAGTCAGACCCCTTCAGGCAGCCGTTATTCAGCGCTATGAATACCATTATGCGCTGCCAACCGCAATACTTGTTATGGAGAAATTTGCTGAAAGCAGGCACTGTGGCTGCTGTGGCGCTACTTGCGCTGTAGTGATATGCGGTCGTCACAACTCCGGTTGCCGTCACATGCCCGGTGCATGTTGCACTTCGGAACGGAATTCTGTCTGTGATGGCTATGATGCACGTGAGATATTAGTCGTTTCCTACGCAAATCCAGCACGCCCGTCAAAGTTGAACATGAAAGCAGCTGGTTAGCTGCTGCTCGCGGGTACTAGCTTAAGACTCCGTATTCCTGTTGCCACCACGGATACCAGGCCTCCGGAATCTGAATGTGTCTATCTTCTGTGTTTTGTCCCCAGGTAGTGAGAAGCACATGGGGGTCTATCCACACACACGGCCACACGCATTTGTGTGCAGGAAGGCACGGGGCCTGCTGGTTTGGTGTACACTCCACGTACGCGCCTGCCTCTGCACCGAGTCTTCAGCCGTGAGGCGAAAGAATAAGAAGGGTGCTTGAACGCTATTCAGGTGACATTGCATGCGGCAGCGTTAGGGATCAGAGTCAGTCCAGTTTGGCAACGTCGCTCGGTGGTTCTGCCCTGTTGTTGCTCGTTTTGTCCTGAGAATTCGTTGAATTCTCTACAGTTATTGAGGAACTCGCGTGGGGTTGTGAGGGGGGATGTGCGGCGCGGCTACCACCCAGCTGCTGGGAGCTGTTGTCCTTTTTCTGTCGCAACCCCAGCGTCCCCTGCAGCGTCTCCTTGAGGTTCGTGAGCTCAAAGTGACTTTCATTCTTCTTTTTGCTCTTTTCTGAATGGCCCTCTTCACATATCTCAGATGCCTTAAGCGCAGCTACGTCATCCATATCCACGTCCATGTCCAGCACCCCCAAACCATCTCCCGAGCCGTGCCCACCCTGCAATGAGACAATCAGCAGTAACACCGTAAACATACAGATTAATGTGTATCATAATAAGTGCAACCAGGGGAAACGATTTGCAGGAGAAAATACACTAAAACCGCGGGGAGCAAACGACGAGAACAACGCATATAGTGCTAGCACACAGAGAAGTATTCACGTACGAACCTAATCTACGCTCACATGCACACTTTGAGGTGTACATACACCGCGGCACATACATGAAACAGAAAATATACGTGATATAGCGCACAAACGCCGTGAGTGCTATGCCTACTGCGACCTGCTTGCAACGTGCACTAAACTCTACAGCTATGCTTTCCAGCACAACTGGTTCATCCGCTTCGAATGCATGCACAAAACAACGCTTAAAATAAATAAAAGTGTAGAAAGCAGCAGAGACGACTTACTCTGGGTACTAGGACCCGCTTCTCCAAAAAGGCGTCACTGCCTCGTCGCCCTCGATCGACCAGTTGAGCAAGGGGTCTGTCCATTGGTCATACACAACGAAGCAGAAGACAGCAAACGCATAGGAACCGTCTAAAGTATGTCAAGTAGGGCAAGGATGTGAACTCCGCACACGCGAGCAAAAACAGAGAACTCCTGGCGTGCATGCATGAGAACGAAAAGAGTTCAAATCACACAAGAAAGGCGGTAGAAATTGGCTTTGCTCTACGCGACTGATTCACAAAATCTGGTGCACTGCATTTGCTGCTCCTACAGCTGCCGCTTCAGCGGTGCATCGACGAATCTGAAGTCGTCTGCGTACTACGTGCATGCATGCACGCTTCTCTGTATGAGTGCGCTTGAAGGCAATATCTGGCTAGAGATACCTGCATATACCCGAGTGTGTGTACTTCCCGCGTACTAGACTTTGTATTTGGACTCTATGTCGAAGCTTTATATTAACGGCTGCTTACCGGTTGGCTTGCTCCTGCCAGAGGGCCCACTTCTGGTGTTGCAGCTTTCTAAGGTTGTATGCAGCAGCTAGGGATAGCCAGAGCATCCACGGCAATGTGAGTACCATGACGAAACTGATCCAGCACCCGAAGAAGGTGAAGAGTTGGGGAACGAAAAGACTGCCGATCCAGAGCACGAAAAAGCCTATGCCTATGGTAAAAATAAGAATTGGCAGCCAGCGTTCTGTGGATCTATAGAGCAGCCATACCAGCACTTCAAACCCCGTGAGGATCAAATATCCCAAGGCAAAAGCAATAGCTACCCCAGCTGTATACACCATTGCGTCAGGAGGCACAAAACGAACACATAAGAGGTAGCGGTGATTCTCGAGAATATCATCCATGACATCCTCCATGCGATTCCCCGCTATCTCCTTGTACTTCATGCAGACGTTTGTGGGGTTGGAGTAGAAATCAAAAAAATGGTGGTGATTCTTGAGCCCGAAGCAGTCGCTCTCCCACAGCACGCACTGTAGGTACAGCTGGAGGGGCCCCCGCCGCTGAGAGAAGTCTATGGCCTTGTACGTCAGAACACAGTACTGCCATACGAAACAGAACATAACCAAAAGGGACGCCCTGACCATCCAAATGTATAGCATGCGGACCTTGTGGGCTTGTCTTCCCGAGGTGATGTCAACATCGAAGCAGTGCATCCTACGCTTCTCCAGGGTCACCATGCGGAAAGCATGCGGCAGGATAGAGACTGTGCGGGATATCGAGTACATAATGAACAAACATATAATAAATATAGAACTCAGCACAAGAGTGAGTAGGTTGTACGTCTGAAGAGACCAACCCAAAGGCTGGGGGGTATACGGAATGTGCGTAGGCATCTCCATCCTGGCAAGCGACTCCATATTGCTTTCTGGGTGATGCATACACTGCGTCACAGTGCTATCTGAGGCTCTAACAAGATGGGAGCCTTAGCCTTATATAGCTTTGCCTGGCAACTCCCGCGTGTATCTTCCCCACCGCCTCTTCAGAAACGGACTAAGCTGCAGGTGGTGTTGCAAGGGACAGAAGAGATGACCCAAGCAGCGGTTGTGCCATTTCCCCCAGACCCAAAGCCATTCAAGGGGATGGATCTGGGGTATGAAGAATCCGTAACAAAGTACAGCTGGTGGAACGGGGGGCCCCTGAGGCTGGGGGTGATCCTGACGACTCAGCGCCTCATAAGGTGTTCAAGTGAACAGAAACAGCCGACACAACTCAAAGAAATGAAACGTGAAGCGCAATCAATCGCTAGAAAGTCCATGGAGCCACGAAAAGAGAGGAGGTCTCTGCATGCGCTGCCGCCGGCTGCCCTGACTCACACCACTGGAAAGAGGAGTATCTCGTTGCAAATACAGAAGGTGCTGAAGTTCCAATATAGCCAAAGTCGGAACTTTTTGCCTTCCTTTGTGACAATAAAGCAAAACTATTTATTCTATTTTACGGGAGGACGGCAGGCGACCCTAGAAACTGCTGGACGAGGACGTTTAGTGTAGGAAAGTGGCCCTTAGGCCACTTTCCTACACTGCACGTCCAGCAATTTCTAACAGTTCTGTAGGAAAACATCCTACACTAAGTTTAATTTTGTGTATGGCTGCGCCGCTCTCCCAGGATGCGGTGTAGTTTGTCTTGCTCCGCCCTGTCCGTTAAAGATACGTCTCAGCCGCCAGTGGTGGTTGCTGGTGTGCGTGTGTGACTGGGGTGGGAGAGATACAAGGTTGGGATACCAATTTGGTCTTCTGCCTGAGTTTACCCTTTGAAGGTTCTGCTTCATTATTTGCTCGTGTTTACTGGTCGCGCTTCAGCTAATGCGATAGGGAGCGTGGCGCTCAGCAGTGCGTTCCCTTAGCAGCGGCATCTTAAGAGAAATTTGAAATCGATGATTCAAACTGATTTTGTAGACTGCTTTGGAAGATCACCAGGAACCAGCGAGCACACTGACCGCCGTATGTCCAGTCATTTACGTGCAGGAGTAGAGACGAATCCAGTCTCACATATTACGAGAAGATACCTGTCACAAGAAGTTACTCGACGGACTGTAGGCAGTTCCCTAAACGGATAGACGGCGCTCAGCTTAGTTAACTGTTTAAAAGGGTGAACTAATTATCATAGGCTTTAAAGTATGTTATTATTGCTCGATTACGCCATATAAATAGCAGCATCTAAACTGCGCAGTGATCCCACAGCAGCTGAACACGATGTGGGAAGCAGGCGGCGAACTGCCTTTCGCAGCAACCGTACGTTCATTAAGTAGGGGATAACGTAACCGTTCTCACTGCTGGCGACGGCAGTGGAAGCTTGCATGAGCAGATGAGGCGAAGAAAGACACATTGGACTGCAGACAGCAAAAGCGATGCAGACTAGAAAAATGCCAAAAGTTGCGAACATTCAGGCGCGTCTCGCAGCGAGCAGTCTGCCCCAAGGGAAACGGCCAGTATACTCCTGCAGCATTTACCCTGTTCATCTGTCCCAGTTGGTGTTTGTTTCGTGCTTTCATCGACGAAGTCCTCAGGTACCGGCCTGGCCTTGTGCATTTCTGTCTTCTATCGGAGGGAAGTGGATACGCTGCAAGGGAATTGTAGGTCGTCTCTGTGGAGGGCCCTACGCTGTTTCATTTTTTAAACGCAGTGTTTTATTTGAAGAGAGGAAGGAATCTGAAGGAATCGTCAGATTCTAGGCAAGTCGAGGGCGTGTAGCCTCTGTGCGTAACGTGCATAGGACGAAGAGTCCAGATGACAAGCATCCCAATGTGAGGCCAAACAAGTATCTTAAACGGCAGAAACCTGCAAAAGCAATGACACTGCTGAAGCTGCGACTTGAAAGTTATATTCATAAGAACATTCGAGCCTTTAGCCGCTGCACAAACGGATAATATGTCGATAATTTTTAGAAGGAATCCCAAGAAGGTAATTGACCTGAACGCTGCTCCGAGGATGGGCGAGTGAAAAAACAATAGTATATATATATATAATATATAACATGTATCTTCTATGCTATGTACATGAGGCTTCTAAGTGACTAACTCATGAGCAGGTTTTACTCTCAGGACGCCCTCGAGCCAAAACCAGATTCTACCGGGCCCTGAGCAGGTGCGCAGTGTAACGAGAATAGCTGACTACTGTTGACAGCCGTCTTACAACAGAGTCACAGTACTTGAGATAAAGGAGTTGAGATAATAGAAATAACAAAATGGTCAAAATACGGAAGATAAAACAAATAATTACAACCAGGATACTTACGATAATAAAAATAGCGGGAGATTATATTTACGATAATATGAATAGCAACGGAGTCAAAAGGATGTATATAATATAGATAAGAACGGAGTCGAAATACTTAAAGTAGTATTAATACCAACGGAGTTAGAATACCTAAGGTAATATACATAACAGCGGAGACATTTTAGGCCATCTTGTACTTCCTATATTTACTACCGTAGTGCCCTTCACCTTTTCGTATCTCCTATATATTTACTACTCTTGCGCTTATTATATTATCTTTTCCTCCCTGTATTTACTATTTGACCCCCCATTATATCGATGCGACTGCCCCGCCGCAGCTGTCTCTGTGTTGGTCCGTCTATGGGCGAGTTCATTTTTGGTGCATAGTTCACGTTACAGGAAAGAAGGCTAGAGAAAACCACAAATAAACAGACTCATTTCAATCTTACGTTACATGCAAGCTAGGCGCGGCTTCACGACAGGGGTTCCCTTTACGCCTACTGGCTGCGGCCGTACGGGCTTACACAAGGAAAAAAATAATCTGAAACAGCTCCATAAACTATCGCTTAAGCATATTTTATGTGTTTAAGAGGGTCAAAAAGGGGAAACAGCAGCTGATCTGAATTGCTACCGGTGTGCAGGTCCACCCTGAGCCCGCCGGCCGCTGCAATACCAACCATGACCCGATCAAATTCCCGTAGAAAAGTTAGACAACAGGGGCTTCTAAATATAAACATGAACACGATTAAAACATAACCATAAGCTTGTTCATTTGAGATAGTCTCGAAAAGGAAATCCGGTCAAGGTAGATCTGATTCTTGACTTTGCAGTGAGTCCCAGTCTCAACCGCAGCAACAGTCTCCCAGCCAGCCCCACCCTGGTGTGGCCACTGAGCATTCTTGGCTTGGTTATCTTGGTTTCTATCTAAAGTATACAGGTTTTCTCTATAAGTATTGTGTTCGTTCTATTACAGCTAAATAGGTCTCTTAAGGCTACACTTGAGCTCCATTGTAGTGCCTGCGCACGACAACCGGGTGAAGGCCGCTGGAGCTTTTCCCGCCTTCGATATATTGCTTATTATCGTAATGAGATGAATGTTTTTAACTAGCACTAAAAACTCTCATGTACAATTTAAAAAAGCCAAACGTTGTATCAGGGCCTATGTCCCCCGTGGAGCCATTATACTCTTCTGTCTGCCTTGCATGGTCACTGGACCTCCGCGGTGAGCATGAGAGTGTCTGCGGGCCTTAGGGCTGCTTATTGAGTCCCTCCTCTCTTCGTGTTCACAAAGATAATACTTTATACCTCAAAGGAATTACCTGATCGGCTGTACACAACGCGGCGCACGATCTTAGCCCGCCCTCGTCGTCGTCTGCCTCCCAGCCAGCTGCTGCTGATGTGTTACTGCTGTTCCAGTACGAGAACCCGGGCTTCTCGCCAAGATGTTTTCTGTTGCTTCACAGCCCTACAGAGAAATCAGAGGGGGCCTGGCCAGCGGCATATACACCCTCAGTGACGCAGCGGAGGAGCGGCTGGCAGCGCAGAGGCTCTTCGCCGGGGGGCCCCCGGAGGGGTCCCTGACGGCCTATGAGGCGGCTCTAAAGATCCAGGAGCAGTACATGGTGAAGGATGAGGCTCAAGAGGCTGCAGATAGACAGAAAGAGGAGGAGCAGCGGGGCCTGCGGGAGCGACGGGAGACAGACGAGATCCTCACCCTGCAGCAGATGCTTCCAGAGTTGCTGCAGGGGGGCAGGATAAAGGAGGCAGAGGGAGCTGTCTGCTATTTCCTTGACAGGAACCCCCACAGCGCTGACGGCTTCGTGCTGCTCGCCGAGACCTACGGCCACCAACGTAATCCTATGGGGGCCCTGACGGCTATATGGGGCGCTATCCACAACTGCCCCGGCAATCGCCGCCTGCTGCGTCTGCTGGCGCAGTACGAGGAGGCATTCCTCATGCAATGCTGCGAGTTGCCTTTGGAGTTCAAGGTTAAGGCGCTCCAGGTGTCGGAGGGCCCGCCCCCCGAGGGGCCCCCAAGCACTGTGGGCCCCCTGGATTCCGAATTACATCTGCAGCTGCATCCGCAGGAGGCCCCCGTAACTGTGGCGAGACACGGGAGCCACATGGTTGCCTTTGCGAATCGTAGTCTGAGTCCTGGGGATTTGATATTTAAGGAGAAGCCGTTTGTGTGTACTCCTATTGTGCTTGAGAGCGGTCAAGTATTTAGCAGTTGCTTTCACTGTCTCCAGGAAAGAAGGGATCCTAGTCGTGCATTCTCCTGTCCTGTGTCTCCTAATACATGTCCTTTTGTGTTTTGTTCGTGGGGATGCCTCATGGCCAATGCACGCCTACATTCGGTCGAGTGTGCATGCATGCCATTGGTGTTTGCTGCTGCTAAGGAAGCGGGCTTATCTGTCTCCTTCGTGCTGCATCTCTTTCGCGTCCTAATAAAGGCGTCGCTGCAGCGGCATGCACAGATCATGAGAGACAGCAAAGAAGACGAGGAGACACTTCGATGCGATGTTGGCACTCAGCTTCTCCGCTTGAATTCGTTTGAAGCAGAAGTCCGCAAAGGCCAGCCGGAGCTACTGCAGAAGCTGCTGCTGTTGATGCGTCGCTTCCAGCAGAGTATTCCCCCCAACATGTTGTTGCACTTCACGGAGCCGGAGCTGCTGCATGTAGCTCTTGTCGTGCTCCAGTACTCCCCATATGTCTCTGCTCCCTCCGCAGCAGCGGCAGTGCAGCGGCGGGACCCCGACTGTTCTCTGGGGCATGTCTTTGCTCCTGCTGCAGCAATGCTGCATCATAGTTGCGTGCCTACGGCCACTATAACTCTAGACGAAGACGGGCAGCTGGCTGTGAGGGCTCTTACACATATACCCCCCGGGGGGTATATTTGTGTTTCTGCTGAAGAAGACCTCTTCAAGGCGCAGAAGGATCGCAAGGCCCTCGAGGCCATCCCCAGGGTCTTTGGCTGTGGTTGCATCCGCTGCAGGGAGAATGATGAGGGGGGGAGGCTGCTAAGAGGTGTCCGCTGCTTCAAGTGTATCCGCGGCTTTCTCTGCCCGGCTAAGCCAACTGCGTTGCTAGCCCGCCTCAGGGCCTACGGAGAGGCTGGCCTCTTGCCTACCTCTGCCTCCAGCGCAGGTGGGGGGATCCCAAGGGAGACGCCTCAAGGGGACCCTAAGACAGCGGATGCCTCCCGAAAGCAGACACCGAAAACCACTGCTAAACCCCAGCCCAGCACGAAAAGCCCGCAGGAAAAGAAGAGCAATGCAACAGCAACACCGCTAGAGGAACAATGGCTGTGCAACTGCTGCGGGCTGACGGGGCCGCAGGCTTCCCTGGCCTGCGAGGAGATGGAAAGAGACATTCAACAGAGGCAGAAAGAGGCAGATGCATATCTACTGCAGGGCGCGAGGCAGCAGGCTGCGCGCTGCTACAGCGACATCGTGGACCTCTACGGCAGCAAACTCCACCCTCAACACTCAGCCCTCTTCAACGCAAACACCATACTAGCGGGACTTCTGGCTGCACAAGGAGGCAAGGACATACCTAGGGTGCGCTTCCGTTCTTCTGTTTCCTGCTCCTCCCCTCCTGAGGTGTCCCCTGGCCATCCTGAGGCAGTGGGGACACAGGGGGCCTGAGACAGTGGGGCCGGCCATGTCTCAGCAGAAAGCTTCTCAGCAGGAAGCGCTGCAGCAGCAAGTGCCTCTATTCACGCAGTCCCTAGCTAGCTCAAGCTACGGTCGCTGCATCAGCTATTTGCGCCTCGACTGCAGCTTCCTGTACCTCTCTCTCCCCTGCGCATGTAGCTTCGGGCAGTCCCTTGTTGCTGATACGCGTCGGCTGTCCCTGTGTCTCCATGTTGTTGTGTCTGCAGGCCCTCATCGTCCTTAGGCGAGCCGCCATGGCTGCGGAGACAGTCTTGCCAGCGACCTCTATGGTTAAAGTCCACCTCTACTTGAAGCTCGCAGAGCTTACCTACAGGGTTTGTATCTACACAGTAGGAACTGCAGCAACTGCAGCAACCGCAGCAGAGAGAACTAGAGGCAGCAGCGCACTCATAGTTCGCTTGACACATGGCTTGCATATTTTGTCTGTTGCTCCTGTACGCAGCTTGGGCCCCTGCGGTTCTTTCTGCGTGTAGAGCAGCTCAGAGCTCACCGCCGTGGCTTCCGTTGGTACTACTATTACTGCTGCTTCTGCTGCTGCTGTTGTTGTTTGTCTGTGCAGGCGATGCAGCTGGGGAAGCAGTGCCGTCGCGGTCCGTCAGTGCCGCCTGAGAAGATCATGGAGCCGTTGTTCTGCGCCCTGTGGAACTGTGTTGCGTGCATGGGGCGGGAGGCGACTTTATCTGTCTCCGTTTGTCTCCGTCTCCGTCGATTTGCTGCTATCCTTAGTGTCTCCACGCCTCCCCTCACCCACGTCCCTGTGGTGCGCACAGACGACGTATTCCTTGCTCTTTATAAGGGGGCAACAGACTCCGCCGCCGCCGACCCCGAGGTAAGTAGCTAGCAGCCTCTTCCCTGCAGAGACGGCTCCCCCGAATGTAGATGCTGCTGCTTCTGGCCAGCAGCAGCAGCAGCAGCTGCTGCTGCTGCATTTGTCTGCTGTTCAGGAATGCTGCAACACCGGCAGCGGGAGAGGGACCCTTGGCGGGTCTATGAATAGCCGCTTGCATGATCCGCTGCGGTTCCCGTGAGGGCCAGAGGATACGTATGCTGCTGCAGCAAACTGCATTCGCTTCTGCGATATTTTGTGTCTCTGATGCTACAGGAAGTCCGGGAACTATTTCAGCGGGACCCGATGTCAATAGCTGCAGGTCTTGTCCGTCGTGGGCTGCATTTCCCGCTGGCCCTCGAGCTGTTTAAAGCTATGAAAGACACACAACACCTCCCCACAGGTCTCAGTCTCCTCGGCCTCGCCTGCCTATACGCCCATAGTCCTCTCGTCGACGCGTAAGGACACGCTTGCTCCCCTCGTTCCTCTCTCTGCTGCTCCTCCTCCTGTTGTTGCTGATGCTCCTGCTGCTGTTGGTACCCTGTTTGTATCTGCTGCTCTTCTTTGGAAAGGCAGAAGAGGGGAGGAGGCTGCTGTTATTGCTGCTGGTGCTGCCAGTGCATTATTGCTAAGGCAGCTGGCTTGGCTTTGTCTTCTGACGACGTGTGCTACGTTCTAATGCGGTACATGCACAACAGTTACCTTACATCCTAATGCGGTGTATGTACAGCTGTTTTGCGTTCTGCTGCGGTGTATGTGCAGCTTGTTAAAAATGGGCTATGACCTTTTTGCCCAGAATTCTTTGGGGATGACTCCCCTTCTGGTGATGTGCGCAACCCGAGGGAGCTGTCTTCTTTCTGGGGAGAAGGGAAAATTCGCTGGTTGTTTGGCTTCGGAGTCCGCAGCGGCGGCAGCAGCAGCAGCAGCATCATCATCAGCAGCAGCAGATGCAGAGGAGACAGAAAAATCGCGGTTGGTTATCCTCCGTCTAATGCTACAGCACTGCGACGCATTGGACTCCCGAGAAGCTGCAGTAGACCGCCACAGGGTTGTTGATAAGAGACAGTCTCTGTCTCCTTCTCAGGTCTCCTCAGGGACACAGGAGGAGACAAAGCAGGCACAAGGCACCGGTGCAGGGCCGTTGGGGCCCAGCAGGAGACGGCTACTGTTTTCCTCTACACATAGACTCCTAGCGAGGAGCCAGGCGCTTCACTTTGCTGCTAGCAACGGAAAGACGCGGCTCTGTCGGCAGTTGCTAGCTGCTGGTGCGGATGTGCAGGCCCTGAACATGGAAGGGGCGATGCCTCTGCACTTGGCCTGCGTGGCTGGGGCTCTGGAGACAGTGAAGCTATTGCTAGAGAGGGGTGCCCCCATCAACGCTACCACTGCTGCAGGGGAGACACCGCTGCTGCTGGCTGCCTACTGGTTGCAGGAAGACGTGATGGCGCTGCTGCTGCAGCGGGGGGCCGACCCGGCGGTAGTAGCTAGGGTAGAAGGCCTCACAGTGCTGCATGCGGTGGCTGCAGGTGTACTGAGACAGACAAGGCCTTTGTTCAGAGGCCTTGCATGGGAAGGAGACCTCGCTGCAGTCACTCTAGAAGGATTTTCGGCGGAGACAGTTGCCAGGGGTACGTACACCCGAGGGGGATGCAACGCAAGCTGTCCAGACACCCTGATAGATCTGCGTCTTCCGTCTCCGACAGCAGATGACAGCGACCTGCTTGTTTTCCCTGGAGAGCTGATGCAGAGGGTGCAGAAGGCCCAGGGAATGCTGTTATCTCTATCACCCCACTGTAACCACTGTGCATACACCCGAAGAACGCGTAGAGGCTTTACACCTGCTGAGCTCTTGCTACGCTCTTGGGAGGACTTCGAGGCAAGACGTAACGAGCTGCTGAAGCTGGGGGATCTACGGCTTGCTCCCTTAACCTCAGAGGAGAAGGTACAGCTGGAGGAGCGCTGGCGCTTCGTGCTGCATCAAATATACGTATTAAGAGACCTTTTGAGTCCCCACCACCTAGGGGAGACAGAAGGGGGAAACTGTGGGGACGAAACCCCAAGGCCCGAACAAATCCGAGAGAATGAACGCCAAAAAATGATTAATGCAGCCCCCTGGCTCTTCAATGATGAAATCGCACGGGCCACACAGGGGAATAACGGGGGTGCCCCTGTTGTGGAGACAGCCGCTAAAGGCTGAGGGGTCCCATGCCCTACTCAAGCGGCGGGGCAGCCAACTAAGAACAGTGTGTTTCTGTACTGTCTTTCGCCGCGCCCCTCCCCCAACCTCTCTTTCTCTCGGTCTCTTTCGCTCTCTATTTGTAGCATCACCTCTCGTCTTCTCTTTCTTTGCCTTGGCGATGGAAGCGAATGCCCACAGGTTGAGCGCCCACGCGGGGGCCACATGGCATGTGGAGAGGCAAATAGAGTTTTCGAGCTTTTGTCTGTTTTTAGTAACGCTTTGAATAAGGCATTAAACCAGCAACTCAGGTAGCTTACCAGGGTCGTTGCTGCTAGGTAGCTTAAGACGCCTGGTGTACGAGCACCGCAGTCAAGAGCCACTGCGCGCGCAAGATGAGATGCACGAAGGGCAGCTTGATGACCTCATGCTGCTGCGGCTGTAGCTGCTGGACCCTGACTGGCTACGCCGTGTTGCTAGAGAGGGAGAACAGTCGATGGGGCTGTCTGAGACCAGTAGCTAGGGTGGGGGGACACATAAGGAGACAGACCCCGGAGACGCTGTGGCTATCAGAAGACAGCTGGCCCCCCCGAAGTGTTCGAACTGCTGCAACTGAGGCCTAAGGCAGCCTCAGAAAGTACAACTGTTGCTTATGGTTAGGGTTTAGAGTTTATACATTACGGCATAGGGTTTAGCGTCGAATATAAACGTTCTACAAGAAGGTTGAGGTGTTCGTGTAGCCAACAGCTCCTGCTGAGGCCGAAATACCAGTGTACAGGGGACTCTGCATCCACATGAAGGGGGGTAGCGAAGGGACAGGAAGAGGCAGCATATATCATACCTAAGCAGAGTAGCTGCTACTGCTGCTCCGTAGAGCAGTCATCAGCTGGCAGAGCTGCTGCTAGTTAGCGTGTAGAGTTTAGGGTTAAGCACACTATAAAAGCTTCTCCCTGGTCTCAGCCTGCAGGCGATGATACTTGAATGAATACCATGAGTATACATCCCACTAAAACCCGATGATATACGCATGCTGAAGGTTTAGGCTCAGTCACATGGCCCTTGGGGCCCTTGGGGGCCCCCAAGGTGTCTGTACCCTCTGCAAGAATCTGAGGGCCCCCTTGCTGTCCCTTGAGGAATTCAAAAGACAGCGCCGGCCTTGCAGTACAGAGCAAGCCACTAAGCTAGTCAGCTCCATGGGCCTTCTGAAGTGGGGTGCATGGGACGGGTAGGGATTATGGTTTAGGGTTTAGAGAGAGTCGCGTTTAGGGTCTGGAGTTTTAGGGTCCAGGCACATACGGCTGCATGCGCCGCAGCACAGCACAACACAGCAGCTTCGCCGGCCCCTCTGCCATATGGGGCTTGAAAGCCCAGATATTTGACTGAATCGTGACCGCTTGTCCGGTCCTCGTTGCTTGTCTCTACACCCTAAACGTTAGACATCAAACCCTAAACCTCCAATCCTCGCACAACAAACTTCCCACCACCCCCCTCGACACCGTCCGCCACAAGCAAGCTGAAGCGTTGTCACCTCAAGGGCGGCGGGCTGATGTGTCTCTAGAGCTGGTCGCGCTTATTCAGGGTTTAGAGTTTAGGGTGTTGGGTTCACAGCCAACGGGCAACGGGGCCAGCAAGTGTAGTAATTTCTCTGCTTAGATCCCCTTATACTGAATTTTCAATGGAAAGTATACATAAATACAAATATATAAAAATATATAGACTTATATATGTCATAACTCCTCACAGACTGCCTTTTGCTGCAGGGCCCCTGATGGGCCCCCAGGGCCTTCGGAGCCCCAGGGCCCTTTGTATTGGGGGCCCCCCAAAACCCACTACGCTGCAGCAGCAGCTGGAAACCCTAAACTCTTGACAACAACTGTGTCCAAGATTGAATGTTGGATACAGCAAATGCATGTTTAGGGTTTGTTTGTGCACTAATTTTGTGATTTTCGTTTTTGTCTGCCCAGCGAGCGTTGAGGGAGAGGCATGCGGGGCCCCTGGGCCTGAGAGCCTCAGGCCTCGGGCGTACAGACAGCTGAGCAAACAACACATAGGCCGCACCCTTCAGAGCCAAAAGGGCCCCCGTTCTCCTCAATGGGGGGCCCCCCAGCAGCTGCTGCTGCCGGAGGCGGCTGGATGGCTCTGGGCCGTCGATGGTTCTCAAGCTCCGTTATTGTAAGCCCTCCTCTTTTTTTTATTTAGGCATCTGTTTTTTTTGCTTATAACACCTCAGGGAGGATAAGGAACTACTACAACCTGCCAACCCTAAGCTTTGAGGGTGTAGGGTTTGAAAGCTTAGGGTTTGATGGTTTGACTGTTTATGGTTTGACGGTTCCTAACGTTTGGGGATTAAATGTTAGAGCTTTTAGTGCTTGGCGGTTTAGGGTTTGAGGGTTCAGGGTTTTAGTGTTTAGTGCCTGAGGGTTGAGGGTTTGAGGGTATACGATTTGAAGCTTTAGGGCTTAAGGATACAGGGTTTGATTTGAAGGCATAGGGTTTGAGATTTTAGGATCTCACGCTATATGGATTGAGGGTTTAGGGTTTGAGGGCTAAGGGTTTGAGGGTTTGCGTTTAGGGCCGGGAGACGCGGGCAGTTCCATGGGAGCCACGGGAGCAGCTCCTTCAGGCTAGAAAAGAGCCTCGATACATGGCTGAGTGCAAAGGTCCGCCATCTCTGCTGCTGTGGCTGCTGCTGCTGTGGCTGCTGCTGCTGCTGCTGCTGCTTGTGTTGCCGGTGCCCAGTGGGGGAGTTTACCTTACTGTGCATGCACAGGTTGGTTACATGCATTGTTTTGGGACTGCATGCAGGGACCCCGCGCATGGAATATTCTGAGAATATGATTGATGGGATTCGCATCCGCCCCACCTTCAACCCTTTTGTCAAACTTACTAGGGCAAAGAGATATGTACTCGACAACTGGCCCTCGAGGTGACCTCCGCCGCGATAGGGTTTAGGGTTTAGGGTTCACGGGTTTAAGGTCTAAGGAGTAGGGATTAGGGCTTAGACGTTAAGGTTAAGGGTTTTGGGTTTGCAATGAGGCGGCTATTCGACGCGACTTTGGGGCATAGGGTTTCAGGGTTTCAGGGCTTAGGGTTTAGGGTTCAGGGCTTAGGATTTTCCGGCTGCAGGAACTGGGCAGACTGGAACCCGTACAGCTGTTTCGTGAGGGGCAGTCGGCGGCGCTATCACATCCCCAAAGACATCATGCCTTACAAAGACGAACTCGGAGAATGGCATCCCCCTCGGTACAGCAAGGGTTTAGGGTTTTTAAGGTTTGGGACGTAGGGTTTGGGGTCTAGGGTTTTGGGTTTAGGGCTAAGCGTTTTGTATGTGGCCGCTGATGCAGACTTTCTGGCCGATACAAAGCGGACGTCGAGCGGCAGTACCGCCTGAACGGTAGGGCAAAAGTTTCCTTCGAACCCAAACCCTAAACACTAAACCCTAAACCCTTAATCCTGACAGCCTCCAATCCAATAGTTTAGGGTTTAGGGTTTGTGAGGGTTTGTATATAGGCCTTGAGTGGGTGTGGGTGAAAAACTTCTATAAGGAGAAGATGCACTTTCGTGACAGAGAACCATTGGGTCCCAAGAGGTGGTATATTCGAGAGTTCAGGTGAGACAAACAGATACGAATAAATACAAACAGATATAAATAAATACAAACAAATATAGAGAAGTACAAACAAGCACAAATAAATGAAATTGATTGCAACAAAGATCTAGACACGAGGGAGGTCCTTTAAAGATAACAGCGAGCGATGCATGCTGTGCATATACACCCGAAGGGCACAGAGCTTTCAGATGACCCCAGTTTGCATCGAAGAGCTCAGACTACTTCTCTTTAGCTGATGTGGTCTAGGGTTTAGGGTTTCCGCTCTAGATATGTGGGGAATACTGTCGCAGGCAACAGCAAGTGAAAGAGGCCATGAAGAAGATGGACGACCTCGTGGCGGATTACCGCAAGGTGGGTGGTGGGCGTGACGTGTTGCTAGCTAAGGTTTACTGCTTACGGTTTACGGCTTAGGGCTCTGCGGCAATACTGACGGATGCACAACTTTACCCACACATCAACACAACACCCTGCGTCCATCATCTAGCGGTCTCAGGTCTCCTCCGCGAGTTCGATATTGCCATGTGAAGTGCTGCTGTTGCTGCTGCTGCTGCTGTTGTTGCTGCTGCTGCAGGAGGTGAGGGACAAGCAGCGTTACAACTGGTTCGAGAAGGTAGTCCACGACTTCGCGGGGGAGCAGCTCTCCTCGGAGTACCTTAGAAGCCGCAAGGAGCCTAAGATGTAGCAGCAATGGCTCAGTACAGACTCGAGCTTACCTTCGCTGCAGCCCTTGCGTGCACCTACAGCAGAAGCCGCAGCTTTTGCTGCAGCTGCAGCTGAGGGTTATTTGTTCGTATGGAACAAACACCTCTCTTCTGGATATTGTATGCACTGCCCTGTCTCTTGAACCCAGTGAAAATTCAACTCTTAGAGACAGATCCACCTCGTTTGGAGACAGTTTGTATAGGGTGGCATATGGGTCCTCTAGCTGCATTTGTTCAACTCTAGCTGCATCTTCAGGTGTATAGACAGACGGTCATTGTGGGGCACCCGAGTCTCTCTCTCTCTTGCGGCCCTTTGCACTTAAGGCAGACCGTTGGTTTGCGCTGAGTGCCGATTTATACTGAAGCTGTTGTGTCTCTCATTTTCCTAGTTGGTGTTTCTTACAAGCGGCCTCAGGGCAAAGGGCTACGGTGTACAGAGACCTGATTGAGTACTCTGGCGGTGGTGGCGCTTAGAAGCCACAGAGGTAATAGAGGCCCTCACTCTATGGAGGTGTCTAGAAAGAGGTTAGCGCTGCAGCTGCATGCAAGACACTGCCAAGAGGCACATCAGCAACAGCAGCGTGAAGGCCTGCTGTCTCTTTTTCTCTTGTGTTTGTTTGTGGGCACTTGACGCTACCTGTCCCTGCCGCTACAAGCGGACAACGGATACACCCGCTCACATGAGACACTCTTTACACTATGACCTGCCTCCTTTGTTACTGTCCCCTACTTTGTCTTGCTACTGTATGATTTTTGTCTTGCTTGTGTCTCCTCTGCTTTGCTGCTGTCTCCTAATTTGCCCTACTGTTGTCCCCTACTCTGTTTACTTTTTTTCTTTGGTGTGGGCGTGTGCGCGGACTGCCCACGCTACCGCGTTGCCTAAGAGGTCTCTCTAGTGTATCGCTAGCAGTCCCCTGCAGCGTCGCCTTGGCGCAAGCTGTCCCTGTGTAAACTCGAAACCCTAAACCATCATCCGTAGATCCTCTACATTCGAGGAGACGCCCTGCTTTTCTTTCCTTCTTTATCTGTCTCCCTGGCGGTCACTCGTAGCCAGGGATTGATTCAAATGAGACTGCTCTCTGCAGCACCTCTACAGCTTCACTGTGTGGAGTTGTCTCCTGATGAGAGGCCCAAAGGGGTGTACCACCACCTGGGCCTGAGCGGCAGGCGGTACTTGGTATCGAGATAGCACTGTCTCCTGTCAGCTGTCTCCTCTTCAGGAGGCTGCAGGTGTCTCCTGCTGCTATCTGTCTCCTCCTCAGAAGGCTGCGAGGGACGGCCACTATGCCTCAGAGGCCTGATGCTGCTTCCTGCAGCTTCTGGCCCCTCTGCTGCAGCAGCGCCTCCCTTAACGGGGTCAGAGGCAGTCTCTTCGATACTCCAGCTGCTCCCACTGCTGCTGCTGCTGCAGCTGCTGGAGCTGCTGTGGCTGCAGCTGCTGCTTCCCGCTGTTGTTCGTGAGGTGTTTGGCCCGCAGCGCGATTCCGCAGCAGCAGCAGCAGCAGCAGCACGCGGGCTGTATCCAGTGTTTTTGTATCCAGTGTCTGTCTCTGCAGCTTCCCCTGGGTGCTGCAGCAAATGGAGACAACGAGCAGCTCGAGGGCTCTGACCCCAGAAGAAGGCCCCAGGGTAGGCGATGCTGTTGGCTGCGTCTTCTGTAGCTGCATGCGCATGCTGTTGCTGAGCCTGCTCCTGTTGCTGCTGCTGCAGCTGCCGCTGTGCCTGCTGTTGTGGCGCCGGCCAGGGCAGCTGTTGGTCTTGTGAAGGCCGCATGACGCTGCAAGTACGGGAGGGCTGCACCAGCTGCCGCTGTAGGGGTAGCTCTGTTTGCTGCTGCTGCAGCTCCGTCTGCTGCTGCATCTGCTCGCCGACAACATGCCCGTCCCTTCGCAGCTGCTCCAATTGATCGGGGTTCGCGCCCTGCTGCAGCGGCTGCGGCATCGGCTGTTGCAGCGGCTGCGGCATCGGCTGTTGCAGTGACTGCTGCAGCAGCCGCTGCTGCCCTGTTGGGTAATGAAGGGGGGAGCACAGCCCTGGGTATCGCCCACACCTGTGCTCCTGCGAACCATGTTGCGGTTGTCGTTGTTGCTGCTGCTTCTGCTGCTGCTCTTCATGTGAGAATGGGTGATGCCCCTCCAGCTGACGCTGCGGAACGATATGGTGGAGCACCAGAGGGCCGCCGACGTGTTGTTGGTGGTGTGGTGGTTGATGGCTGAGGTGCTGCTGCAGCAGTTGATGTTTGTTAGGAGCAGTCGATGGGTCACTCCATTGTCCTTTAGCAAACTGGCAGTGCAGCATGGGCTCGCAGGGCAGGAACTGTTGCTGCTGTTGTTGCTGGTAATGGTGCTGGGGCTGTTGTTGCTGCAGTTGCCGCGGCTGCAGCCTGTTGGTTGCAGTTGCATATGCTTGCGCAGTCTTCGTGCAACACATGGGGGTGGAACTCATCGCGCAGTCTCCGTCTGCTCCGCCCTGCTGCTGCAGTCCCCAGCGTAAACTACAGTCGCTGCCGAGTCCGTCCCCTGCTGCTGCTGCTGATGCTGCGTCGGCGAATTGCTGTAGGTTGCTGCTGCTGGGTGAGGTCCCCCTGACTGCAGTGCAGCACACTGGGGTCCCCTCGAGTGCAGTTAGTGCTTCGAGGCTGCTGCAACAGACCTCCCGCAGGCGCTGCAGCACGACGGCAGCATGGCTTAACAGCCCTTGCAGCTGACAGTGAAGGGCAAACAGCTGCTGCACTCGCTGCAAATGGAGCTGCTTTGTTTGGTGGTGCTGCTGCTGCTGCAGTTCGTACAATTGCTGCTGTTGCTGCGGAGGGTGCTGCAGCTGGATCGGGTCGGCTCCTGTTCGTGGGTTATGAAAGATGAGGGGGCCTTCTCTCGAACGCATATCTGCGTTTAGCACTGAGGGTGCTGTTGTTACTGCATCCGCTGTTGCTGCTGTTGCTTTAGCTGTTTCCTTTGCTGCAGGCTGCTGTGCAGCAAGCTGCGGGGCCAAAGAGGCTGCAGCTGGGGGTCTTTGCTGATGCGGCAACCAACTAGGCCTCTCCGCAGGGGCCCTTGCGGAAACAGGAGACGCGCAACAGCTTACGAAGCCCATAGATATGCAGGGGGACTGGGCATGTCTCTCTTCTCTTTGTGCTGCTGTGGAGGCACCACACGCAAGAGAATAACCCCTTCTCCCTGGAGGCTATGCACAGACAGAAGGATACGACGGCTGCTGAGACACCGCAGACACTGGAGACACTCGAGACACCGGGGGAGACACTGGAGATAATGGAGGGAACAATGCAGACAGTGGAGACACCAGGGAAGACATTGGAGACAATGGGGATAATGGAAGAGTCGCTGGAGACGGTTGAGACAATGGAGACAATGGAGGCAGTGGAGAGACCGGAAGAGACACTGTGGACACAATTGAGACAATGGAAAATACTGTTGATATAGTGGATACAGTGGAGAAACACGAGACATAGGCGATATGGGAGACACGCGAGGCACAAGGGAGGACAGTGGAGACACTGGAGACACCAGAGGAGACAGTTGAGACAGTGGAGACACCGGACGAGATAGCTCCAGGGAACAGGAGCCCAAATAGAGAAACTTGCCTTGCTGCTGTTTCTGTTGCAGCAGATGCTGCTTCTGCTGCTGCAACAGATGCTCCCTGGGAAGGTGTTGCGCGGGGTAGTGAAGCTGCTGGGATTGCTGTTCCTGCTGCCCGTGCGGCTCCTGCAGCTGCTGCAGCGGGGCTCGTTGCAGCCTTCGCGGAGGCTGCTGCTGCTGCTGCTGCCACTGCGGAGGCTGCTGCTGCTCAGAAGGCGTAAGGCAGCTCTGCTGATGCACTTGCTGCTGATGCTGCGACTGGTGAGGGGTTTCTCGTTGCTTTCTCATCGGCTGCTGCTGCTGCTGCTGTTGTATCTTTTGCTGCAGCAGCTGTTGCTGTTGCTGCGCGCCCTCGTGTCGCTGCTCTATCTGCTGCTGCGTCGGAGAAACCTCATGCATTTTGCCTCGAGGCTGTGGTGGCCCTTGCTGCGGCTGCTGCTGCAGCTGCTGCAGCGGGGCCCTCTTCCCCTGCAGTGTCTCTTCCACCTGTGGGGAGACAGAGTAGAGCAAATCGCATCTGCTGCTGGCTCCCTGTCTGTCTCCTTCCGCTGCTGCTTCGTGTTGTACAATAGGGGCGATCCGGTGACAGTTCCCTTGCTGCACCTGTTGCTGATGCGAACTCCCGAAGTGCTCAGCCTGGACAGCACGGTTCTGTCTTGCTGCAGATGCTGCATCAGCAGCAGCACAACTCTCTAATGCAGCCCCATTGGCTGCTGCTGCTACGTCTGCATGCTTCTTCCCCTGCAGCTGCTGCGGGGACAACTTAGGGAATGTCTCTTCAACTGTTTCCTCTTGGCTGTCGCGCGGGTTCGATTCCCCCCTCTGCATAATCTCTCCAGCCGCGTCGGCCGATGGTATACACGAGCCCTCCTGCTGCTCCTGCTGCTGCTGTTGCTGCTGTTGTCGTTGGTGCTGATGCTGCTGCGCTGAACGCATGCTGGGCTTGTTCTTGCTGCTGCCTCTCAAGGGAGGCATCGTCTCCCCCGCAGAGACACCGGCGGCAGCAGCTGCAGCAGGTGAAACCCCTTGCGCTTCCGGAATACACGAAACACGTGTCTTGCTTTTGCTACTGCTGCTGCTGCTGCTGCTGCTACTGTTGCTGCTGCTAGTGTTGCTGCTGCTGCTGGTACTTCGTTTGCTGCCGCCAGCATTGCTCTCAAACCGCTGCAGCAGCGTGACTGCTTTTCCTGCAGCAGCAGCAGCAGAATTTTCGACTCCTCCTAAAGAATGGCCCGGTGGCCGCTGTTGACGCAGCTGATTTGTTGCATTTGTCTCTCCGTCTCGCGTCTTTTTAATAGTGTTGCCTGCAGCTGCAGCAGCAGCTGCAGGAGGTGCTGCTGCTTTGGTGCCGCAGAACCGGGCCTGGGCGCCCGCAAGCCTCGCAGCAGCAAAAACGGAGGGAACAGTGCCCCTTCTGCTGGCTGCGTTTTGCGCTTCCCCTGACGCAGCAGGAAACGACTGTCTCTTCAGCAGCTTCCCCAGCATTCTGCGGTGCAGGGAGGAAACAGCTGCTGCTGCTCTACGCTTGCCACAAACAGAAGGTGAGGAAACTGTCTTTCTTCGTTTCACGCTGTTCCCGCTGCGGTTGCTGCTCCTGCTGCGGCTGCTGCCGCTGCTGCAGCTGCTGCAACTGCTGAGGCTACTGCGGCTGCTGCGGCTGCTGCTGCGGTGGCGGCTGCTGCTGCGGTTGCGGCTGCTGCTACTGCTGCTGCCGCTGCTGCTGCTGCGGTTGCTGCGGCTACTGCGGCTACTGCGGCTGCCGGTGCGCTTGGTATTGCGGCTTTTGTTGCTGTGGTTGGTTGCGCGGTTGTTGTTTCTGCTATTGCTACTGCTGCGGCTGCTGCTGCGACTGCCGCTGCTGTTGCGTCTGTGAGAACCTTCCGTTCCATCACTGCTGCTGCTGCTGCTGCAAGTATAGCAGCTGCTTCTGCTGCTGTTAGTTGCTGTCAGAGTAATGTTTCGTGCCGCGTTTTTGTGGGATGCGGGTGGTGGGATCGAGGGCCTGTCGTTTCGGGGCATCCCAGCTGCCCTCTGCACATTTCTCTGCGAGTGCTGCTGCAGGTGCTGCTGCAGGTGTTGCTGCGGCAGCGGCGGCTGCTGTTGCACCTGCTGCTGCTGCTGCTGGAGGTTTTGCTTTTTGGTGGGGGTCAATGTCGTCTGTCCCCCCGGCCCCGCTCGTTTCTGCGTCTTTTTGAGCAGCAACTCAGTAGCTGGTGCTGCTACAGCAACCCGTGATGCAGCAACCCCACAAGATTTCTTTCTGGGGGCATGTGTACTTGCTGCTGCAGCACCCCTGTTATCTGCTGCTGCTGCTTCGGAAGGTGTAACTGCAGCATCATTCTTGTCTCTAGGCTCACTTAAAGCTGCATCTGCTGTATTTGCTGCTGTATTTGCTGCTGCACTTGCTGCTCCTCTTGCTGCTGCTCTCGCTGTGGCAACTGCTGCTGAATTCCTCGTTGTTCCATTCCGAGCTGCTGCTTCAGGAGCTGCGTTTGCAGCAGCAGCAGCTGCAGCAGCAGCAGCTGCTGCAGCTGCTGTTTCTCTTGCGGCTGTTTCTGCTTGCCCTGTTTGAGCTTTCTTCGCCGTAGCACCTGCTGACGTTGTTGCTTGGACCAGGGATCTATGCTTTGCTGCAGATGCTGCTGCTACTCCTCCTGCTGCTGTTGCTGCGTTCATCATCAGGCCCGATGGATTGTGCGTGTCGGCGGGTGCAGCAGTAGCCCGCATCCCTCCCTCTACTACGGGACGAACGGCAACAGGCCTTGTGGCGGTAGCACGCGCTGCTGTTGGTGTTGTTGTTGCTGCTGCCCCCGCTGTTGTTGCTTCTGCAGCTGCTGAGAGGGGCACTGGATGCTTCTGCAACTCCCGCAACGCTGAGCCCAGCGACGCAAGCCGCAGGCTGCCGGTAGCGTGGAGGCGTTGTTGTTTCTGATGAATAGATGACCTCTGCTGCGTTGCTGCTGCAGATCTCAGTATAAATGGAGCTGCAGATGGCGTTTTTTTCCCTGCTGCTGCTGTTGCTGCATGCGTTCCTGCTGCGTCGCGATCCTGGGAGGCAGCAGCAAGCCGAGGCAACGCCCGGCCTTCTGCTACCTGCCAGGCTGTTTGCTGCTGCTGCTGGTGCTGCTGCCGCTGCTGCTGTTGTTGCAGCTGCTGAACGTCCAGGGGATGGCATGGCTCAGCTGTCCCTCCAGTGTTTGCTGTTTGCATCAAGAGCCCCGCCAACGGGCTGCGGTCCTTCGCCCGCTGCTCCTGCTGCTGCTGCAGTTGGGGCCGGTGCTGCTCCTGCTGCTGCTGCAGTTGGGGCAGCTGCTCCTGCTGGTCTCGCTGCTGCCGCTGCCGCTGCAGCAATTGCTTTGGATCGGGCCCGCTTGATGTCGTGACAGCCTGGGGTTCCCTTTGGAGTGGCGATGTACGCTGGTGAAGGACGGAAGTCTCTTCCTCTGGCACTGCTGCTGCTGCTGCTGCTTCTGCAGTGCTGCCCCTGGGTTCTGGTACTGCGTGCACCGGCCGTTGCTGCTGCTGCTGCTGCTGCTGCTTGTCTGGGTGCAGTGTCTGGGGTCGTGTCTCTGGTTCGCTGAAGTCCGACTCGGAAAGAGATATCTCGCGGCTGAGGGTGGAGTGAGAGACAGGAGACCCCCAGGAACGCGCTGTCTCCTCTGTCTCAGCAACATCAGCGAGACCTGCCCGGGGAACCGCTGCAGGCACCTGTCCCTCATCAGCTGGGTCCTGGTGGTGCTGGTGCTGCTCTGGTTGTTGCTGCTGCTGCTGCTGCGGTTGGTGCTGCTGCAGAGTGTGTCGGTGAGGCTCGTGTTGTTGCGGTTCGTGCTGCTGCTGCTGTTCCTGCTGCTGCTGCTGCTGCTGCTGCTGCTGACAATGTTTAGGGGGAGATGGCGTCGTCTCTGTCTGCCACATCTGCCTCAGCTCGCCCTGCTGCTTCTCTGCTGCTGGCTGCAGTAACTCCTCCTGCTCCGCTTCGGGATCCTCTCTCTGGAGCTGTTCTGCTGGCTCCAATTGCTGCTGCAGTTGGTGCTGCAGCTGCACCGTGTCCTGGTGCGGCTCTAAAGAAGCGTGCTGCTGTTCCCTGTTAAATGGCAGCAGTGCAGGCTTCCCTGCTTCTTGTTGCTGCTGCTTCTGGTTATTGCCTTCGCTTGGGCTGCGGCCATCTTGAGCTTGTTGCTGCTGCTCGTACAGATCCTGCTGCTGAGAGTCAGTTTCATCCTGCTGCTGCTGCTGCTGTTGCTGGTAGCCAGTCCTGCCATGCTGCTGCTGCTGAGATCCAGTTCCGCCATGCTGCTGTTGTTGCTCAGAACCAGTTCCGGTCTGCTGCTGCTGTTGCTGTTGCTGCTGCGGCTGCTTCGAATCAGTTCCGTCATTCTGCTGCTGTTCCCGGTACTCCCCCTCCCACTGGCGTTCCTTCTGATGTAGCTGCTGCTGCTGCTGTTGCGGTTGCTGCTGTTGCGGTTGCCGTTGTTGTTGCTGCTGCTGTTGCCGTTGCTGCTGCTCTTTCTGGAGGTTCTCATTGTCGTGTGTGTGCACCGCAGGTGGGGTTGGTGTTGCTAACGGGAGGCCATGGTTTGGGGGCCTCCCAGGACTTGGTGGGTCAGGGAAGGGGGCCCCTGTCTCTCCTCCTTCCGAATTGCCTTGGGGCCCTCCTGGAGGCTCTGAGGTGGTTGAGGGCCCTGGGGGTCGCTGAAGGGCCAGCGAGTCGAATAGAGACATCTACGAGTTGGGCTCGTGCTGCTGCTGCTGCGGCTGTTGCTGCTGGCGCTGCTGCGGGTGGCATTGCTCCTTCGCTTCGGCAGTTGAAAGGGGCTCAGAAGAAAAACTCATGAAGAGAAAAACCTTAAAAATACGTTGTTCCAAATAAACAGACGCTGCAGCAGCAGCAGCAGCAAGAGCAGCAGCAGCAGCAGACCGTCCCTCGCCAGAGTGACCTTCGGCCGCGAGCTGCACGGGGTCTCCGTTGCCGATCCCGGGATCGCCTCCTCCCTCCCCCAACTCAGCAGCTCCAGGAGCTCAATTAAAATACAACAGTAGCTGTTTCTTTTCTATTTGCGGCAAAAGAGAGGACAAAGAAATGAGACAAAAGCGGAGAAGGAGAGCGCGGGGAGTGTGCTGCCTGCTCGATCGGGAGTTTGCTGCTGGGGTGTACAGACACCCCATGCAGCATAATAAGGCCCTGATTAGCTTGAAATTATTGTCTTAATTTTTGTATTTAATTTCGGTTGCAGATATTCCCAACAATCAACCCAGAAAACGACACATCGAAGGCCGTTGCTGCTCCCGTTGCTGGCGTTGTTGCTGTTGTTGGTTTGTTGCTGCTGCTGCGGTGTGCCTGCTGTTTGCAGCTGCCGCACCGCAAGCCATTGCAATTGTCTCTCTCTCCATTTGCTTTTCTGGCTGTCTCGAAGGCCGAGGGGGTAACCTTAGCCCCCCACATCGCTCCCCACGCGCCAGAGAGCTCCGGCTGCGGATCGATCTGTAACATGAGTTAGCGCAGAGTTAGCTCAGGAGCCTATCGACAGCTTTGGCATGCTGCGCGTAAGCG